ATATATCAGAGATGAGCATTTGTAATTCAGAATAATGAATAAGGAATCATGAATAATTATATTCAAAATCTTCCTGAATAATGAATACAGATTTATTCAACAGTCAGAAATATTTTGAATAAAGAATAAATCATTCATTATTCTTTTTTCATTAGTCAAGAATAACTGAATAATTTCACTGGTAAACAAAAATGGGCACGTACAACTCTAATTAACTACGATTGTGACTACTACAAATAAAACATACATGGTAATTAATTACTTGTAATTATTTTATAAGTTACAAGTAACGATTTCAGGTAAAAAGTGATTACAATTACCTGTAATCACAACAAAATGCGATAACTGGCATATGGTTACAAGTGACTGAAATTTTTTTTTATAAACAATCAATGTAATCAATATGTATTATTATAATCAGTAATTTTTACCAGCAATCATAATCTAACGATCAATTACAGGCAATCACAGCTATTGTATCACAGGAATCAATTACAGGCAATTACAGCTATGTAATCAATTATTTATAATTGGGATTACTATTTTCAATGTATGAATTTATGTAAGCATAAATGTAATTAACTACGCATAACTGTAATGCATAACTGTAATTACGTGCATATACATATATTAGACATACACATGTTAGTCCGATGATTGTATATATGTGCAATGTATGCATATCTAAATATAATTACAATACAATGTATAAAATTTACGTAAGTTATCTAAATTTCAAAACTTTCATTATTACAACCACTAATAACAACTAAAGCAATTTAAATGATTTAATCAAACGATATTTAAAATCAATTGTCAGTTTTTATTGTTCTATATCATTTAAAAAATATTTGAATAAAAAATCCTTTTCAAGTATTTTTATAAAATATTTAAGGAAATTTACTTTTATCTAACGTAATAATTCATAGTTCTGAAAAATGTTTAAATGGCAAAAAAGCGTTTAATTTTTTAAGTTAAAATTTTATTTAGATATTAAAAATAAGTTTATCGTTTGCTTTCAAAAACTATAAGAAATTGTGTTTTTATAGATGTTGGAACAAAATTTAAAATGAACTTAAGTAACTAAACTGTCATAAACTACTTTTTAGCACAACTAAGTATAAGAACTTATAAAACAATAATGTTACGCTGGAGCAAGTTAAAATAACATAAAAATAAATATTCATACTTTTCTTAGTTTTATGGTTAAATTCCTAAAATAAGACGTTTAAGAGCATACGATGTTTTGCATCTCGTTATAGACAAAGACATCTCCTTATGGGTAAAGGCACAGCCCAGGTGGGTAAATAGTTCGATTTACATACACTTAATGTGCGTACATACTTTGTAAATACATATATTTCTTGCAGATGCTCACTTTTATTCATTATATGCACTAACGTGCATGCATACATTGGATATACATGCGTATAATGCAAGATGATACAAACATTTTTGCACATACACACGTACACTCATACTTTACACACATATTTTGATGATGTACATAGATAAGTGCGTTCCTACATAAGAACATACAATACACGTACAAACCATATATGTCTGTACATGAATGTTATATGCATAAATATGTACATATATCTTAAGAATAAAAAAGATCTTACGCTCACATACAATGCTCGTACATACCTACATTTATACTATGAATGTACTTTGTTGTATAAAAACACGTATATATATATATATATATATATATATATACACAGTACAGACCCCGCAATCCGGAAATCAGAAAACCGGAAAACCAAAAAACCGGAACGAAATTCGATAAATTTTCCCACCATTTAAAAAAAAAAAAATTTTTTCCTCATAAGATTT